GAAAGTCAATGTCAATGAGAGCTTGCTCTCGCCACCACCAACATATGTATCCAGTCTCTATCTCCCTACTTGGCGCTCGGCGCCCAGCCTACTCCCTACACAGCTACTACTAGCCCACTAATTGACAATGCAACTGTTGATGTCAGCAGCACCCGAAGTACTTGAAGATGTCGCCCATGCAGAACCATCACCAATACCAGGTATGTGCCCTCACATCATCATCATCATCCTTCTCTCTCCCCCTTGACTCTCTCCCACGTCTCCCTTTGTTGTACACCCGAAGACCACCCCTCCGCCTCACTGTATGTCCAAGCCCACGGCCAGCTATGGAGGCTGGGCTATGGCGCTGCCCTCGACAGCGCCCTTCTTCACCACACGACCGCACGTGCGCAGCCTCTTGCTCCAATGCCAGCAGCCAGCACGCGAGCTATCGCTCCAGCAGCGCTGCCGCCAGTCAGCGAGTGCCCGAAATGCCCTGGCCAGGCAGCGAGCTCGGTCCTATATGGAAAGAGCCTGCCTCGTTCGGCAGCCTGGCTGGACTGGCCTGGGCCCAAAAGCTTCCGGTAGGCCCCAGGATGCTGCGCCTGTGGTGCAGCTACTGGGCCTCATTCGGTTGGGCCTCCCAACTGTCTGTGTATAAGGCTGCGAATCTGGCCCAGGGCGTGAGCTTTTGGAAAGGCCTAAAAGGCCTGGGAATTTCCACGCTGCTCGGCCTGTGTTTCCCTTCAACCAACTGCTGCGACGATAGTGCCTGGACCCCCAAATGTGAAATTGACAACCAAGGGCCTCTCGTGATTTGTTAGGCCCGCCTTCACTTAGGGCTGCCATATATGCTGCAAGCGGCCTCTTAGGCCTGACGAGGACCCATATCCTCGCATTTGCATCTAATCGTAAAAAAAAGAATAAAAAAAGCATGTGCACCATGCTTATGCCACCAGCAATTAGAAAAACTTTATGATGAAAAAAAATAAAATGTTTTTTTTTTAATTATGTTTCTTTTGATTCAAATTTCAAATACATGTTTTTTCGTTTTCCGTCGAAATCCGAAAACAAAAAATATGAGGTTGTAGGGCATTTCAAACCCTACAACCCCATTTTTTTTTATTTATTTTTTTTCTATATGTGTTTTTTAAAACAATATGACAATTTCTCAGCCGCGCGCTTGGGTCATGGCCGGCAATCAGAATCCCAACCGCAATTCGAGTTTGACCCCGAGGTCATAACCGCGGGGGACTCATAGGATAAAACATCTCCTTCTCATGGAAACTGCCTGCAATCAAATCCTCATACTGACCTAGGAAAGATGCAAGTAGATATGTTCTACGAAGATTGAAATGACACTTACAATGAACTCTCTTAAAAAAATTGTGTACACATAACAAGACAATTCTGGTAGCTTTACGTGACGTATCATTCCAAGAGGGTCAAATGGGCCGCCACCTGTTGACATCTTTGTGCTTAGGTATTATATATGATCCACCCATTTTACCCGGTATTATCCATGGTGCGAAAATTGGAAACTTTTATGCCTTATAGTTAGTTCTACATCGTCGAAAAACATCGTCTTCCTCCTTATTAATAACATGTAAACCCGTATTCTCTGTGAAGAGTTTCCTTCCGCATAAGCAACGGGGCAACATAGTAACATACACAAGTGTCGCCATAGTTGTGATCCAACGGGCATAACACCAAACCGTTGTGATAGGAACCTCGAAGTCTACACCAAACCGTTGTGATAGGAACCTCGAAGTGATCCAACGGGTCTCTGTGAAAATTTGAAACTTTATAGATGATACACTTGTTATCTGTACTGCCTTTTGCAAAACAACCCTCCAAACTTGTGATAGGAACCTCGAAGTCTACACCAAAGAATTGTTGCAGAGACGTTACAATTTGTTTCCTAAGGAAACTTGTATGCGAAGTATAGTCAAGATAAACGTAGACATCTACGGAATAAATTAACTTTGCTAATTTTGAAAGACGCATGCTAATTTACTATCGGGAATTCCGAACAAACCGTAATGCAAGTACAAATTGGGTTGGCAACTACTTAGTGTACCCTAAAATTATGCAACAAATCAGCTATCGACTATTTTTTTATCCATACAACACGCAATTTCCTACAGACCAGAAGAAGGTAAGATCGTTGAAAGTTCATACCCAGAATGCTATGTTGGCAAATCCTTCTAAGTTTCAACTGTGGCTTTGACCACGTCCTCATCGTACGTAATTCGAAGTTAAACAATCAATTGGGCGGCGAGGCTAAGGTGGTGTTTTTTTTGCAGCAGGCATGGGATAATATGATTCGTAGAGATGTACGTGATTTTTTTAAGATGAATGTGCGGACATCGTTATAGGCAGAGATAAGGGAGTTGAGAGTCCAGGACTCAGGAGGAGATCTCACGTCAAGATACAAGAGATCTAAGAATGCGGACGAAGTTATCTTTGTGAGGTAAGTGCTTGCAGCAAAAGAGTTTGATTCAATGAAAGGAAATAGAAGCCCTTGATAGAAACTAAGAGCGACTGTGTTTGAAAAAGGAAATCGAGAGATCGGATGTAGAGATCGTCGAATGACCGAATAGGCTGCGAATGAGCTTCCATTTTTCCAAGAAGGGGCAAGTTGAGATGTAGATGGTCATAGGGGTCGAAAGTTTGGTTTGGTGTGCATATCAGAGGATAGAGGTGAGACTAGTGGATTCGTTTCCGTGGGATGATGATGAGAACATGAAAAAGGGGTACATTGAGAATTTGAAGTTACGATACGTGAAGCGATTGAGGCATCGGGAAAGGGAAGGGAAGGGGAGGGGTGGGCAGCCATACAGACTTCCATCTATGTCGCTCCTTCCGACCTGGATGGCAAGTTCTCCGACGGTGGGTACGGGTGGTAATAAAATTGGGGGCAGGACTGAAGAAACGGATGACGAATTTCTCAGACGTAAGGAGATTATGGTCAGTTGTAGAGAACATGGGGATAAAGATTTATTCATTGATTCCAACACGACCGATCCAACGGTACAACTTCCTTTTGCTACGAAGAAGTCGGGAAGAGAAAGTAGAGGAGGAGTTCTTTTTCCTTCTAACATTCACAGAACAAGAGGTACAACCAGTATAGACATGCCTAAACCATGGAGAAATAATTGTGTACAGTATCGGACCTGGGCATGTTCTCAAGTCATAATCAGTATTAAGCAAGTGTAGACAATGTAGTAATAAATCCTGAAATTTAATATCCCAACAAATTTGATTATTAATAATTAAGAGCATTACAATCAACCGGAATAGATAAGTAACCTCGTTAACCGGAAGAGACTTACGATAATCGAGGAAGAATAACGGTCAAAACCAAAACGATGATGCACTCGGGGCATGGCTTCATTCACCCAAAACATCCTCAGTTGACATGACATAATGTTGTTCGTGGTCCTCCTCTTCATCATGGAGGCCAAGGTCCTTCAACCACTCAACAAATCTTCGTTTGGCCTTAATTTTGGCCGCATTTGCCTTTGACTGCTCTAGCTGGATATAAGTGATGCCTTCTTCCCAGCATAGTTTCTCCATATCCGCTCTTTCAACACACGAAGTTGGCGTCGCTCTTCCTCCTGACTTCCATAACTACTTTTTTTTCGTGTTTTTTGTCACGTCCTCAATAGCCTTGGTCTTCCTCGCCCCTTCTTCTTTGTCGGTCTCATCATCCGAGACAGGGAAGATGCTTAGAGCAGGTCTCAGGTTTCGCGGCGTAGATTTCATCACTGATGGCCTTCGCGCTAAGATTCTTTGTTACCTAAGCAGTTGACCTCCTATCCGTGTCATTCGTTCCTTTCAAAACTGCGCCTCCTTGTTAGGTGTTTCTCTTGCAAAAAAAAAATTATAGACCTTTTGTAATGCCTCCAAGTCCTTGTGAGTGTAGATCGCATCGCCGATAGGAATTATCCTCTGCGTTCCTTCTCTAATTCTATGGGCGGACTCTTTTCAGTGACCTCATTTGACACCCTTTTGTTATTCACCTTCTTCAGATTGATCAGCTCGTCTTTTAGGCCGATAATTTTCTTCTTGAGAGACGAATTATCAGCCTTCAATGTGTTCATCTCACTACTCCGACCCTAGAGGCTGGAGTGCTATGCGGATGTCTTCCAATTCTGCAAACGAAGGGCCGGAATCGCGTCGCTTTGTGAACACCCCGAAGATCTGTCAGTCGGGACCCCCTTCTCACCATGAGCTTTCAAGAGCTCGATCGCTTTCCTCACTGCCTCTTCCTCGCTACTTATGGGCTGTGCTTTTTGGCAAGCATCCTTTTCTTTTCGCAGCACATTCAAGCTAGATCCCGCTTTCTCCCCTGCACACAACAGAAAATTTTCCTAGAATTAAATAATAATTCAAGAGTAAAATTACATTCTAAATTCCAAATTTTCGTTCCATCTTAAAAAATGTCATTCCAATTTTAAAACTTTTCGTCTTACTTGAAAACTTTCCTTCCAAGAATGGGGTATCCCTTCTTATTTGAACGGCATGCTAGAGATGGAATGGAAGTCTGAATGAGTTCATGAAATATTTTAATTGGACTGTCATTCTAAGTAAGGATTTACAGTCATAAATATGTTAATCCAATCTAAAGTAGACGATATTTGTTTTCGTAGAATGGAAGTCTAATTAAAACATTTCATAAACTCGTCCTGACTTTCATTCCATCTTGAACAAATAGATGTAGTTGGAAGGGAAAGCTCATATTTAGACGAGAACTTATCAAATTAAATTGGAAATTTTAGAATTGGACAAATATTGGAATGATAATTAATAAATATGAACATTTTTTTTTTTATGGAATGTTTTTTCAACTTTCATTTTTCATGGGAATTTTTCTGTTGCACCACGTCTTCAACTTTTATGATTCCCAATGTAGCTTCCCTACCTACGAAGGTTCCGATTCATCTTCATCAGGAAGGTCGACCTTCTTCCGAAATACAGATTCTCAAACCGCCTTTCCCGCTCCAACCTGCTCAGTGAGAAGTTTATAGATTTTGTTGAAGTATTCGCCATCGCTTGAGTCTTTGAAACCTCCTCCCAAAGACTCACTAAATCTCTGTCCTCCATAACCCTGATTGTTACGAAAGTTGTTGCCTGAACTTGGCTCCATAATTACCCCCGTAGTTACCACCATAGTTGCAATAATTGTCGTTACTCCCTTCTCTCAAGTTCTCCGCTTCTATTCTGAGGCGCTTGACAAGGCACAATTGCATTCAGCACGTTGGATGCACCAGCCACTTGCGGAGAGGAAGAAGTCGACGTTGGTAGCAAACCACCGTTACTGTTCGACACGGCATTACCCATAGGGCCATAGCGCTTAGGTGGCAGCTCCATCGGGGGGCTGTCCTCAAAGATCGGCTCTGGTTCGCGCTTACATTTCTCTGAAATGCACAAATTGCGAGTGCGTCCACGAAGTTCAAGTTCTTCAGTCTCGCTGCTGCTGGCGTCACTTTGAGTCAGTGATGTATCCTGAAAAACTACCTTCTGCTTCCCTTTGGCAACTGCCATAGATAGTTCGTTAATCGCCTCTCGAACCTCCTGCCGCACATCCTCCCGTACATCTTCACGCAGTTCACCAACGCGCACTGCCACTTTAATATCCACGTTCTTATTGATCTCCTCAATACGTTTCACGTTCTTCCTGGCTTTATCCTCCTCCTCCTTCCTATTCTGGTCCAATTGCAAGCGCTCTGCAGCCTCACATTCCTCTGCCTCCTTCCTCTCGATCCTTCGGCTCTCCTTCACTGCTTTCTTCTGTTGCTCGTTCTCCACATATTGACAATTGACGGCCACACTTTTACCGATTTCAGCCACCTTCGAGTGGATAGGATCGCTGGAGGAACGCCGAGGGAAGTTCTGATCATGTCTAGATGGTGACAAAGACCGCCCATGATGGGAATCTGAAGATGATGACGGCTGCGAGTTGCGGTAACGACGTGGGTGCGGGCACTGATTAGCATAGTGTCCGGGTTCCCCACATTAAGAGCACGTGAGGGGTCCTCGACGTGGGCCCCTATCATAGCTGCCTCTATCTCGCTCATAGCCGCTCCTATCCCCTTCGTCATAATCACGGCGATCACTCCCGTGATCCCTCTGTCCTCCATAACCCGCCATAGCTGGACGCCGACGACTAACAAAAAGTCCTGGTACTACTTCGAACGAAAGCCACCATAGATATTCACTTGCACCAAAGGGAAAAACTCAAAGTGAAACGTGTCGTGTCAAAAGAAGCTGGAAAATTCTCGTAGCTGAATACCACGTAACTGACAACTTCGTAGAACATCTCGGAAATAGAAGTAGTTGTAAAAATCACTCTCTGGAAGGTGAGATGAAACGTGCTCACTTATCCGGGTAACGCCGCTCCAAGATAGTTCACACGCGCAGAAGACAGTATGTTATGAATAGACTCAAACGTATACACGTGGAGTAAGCCGACTCGAGACTGTCAAGAAAATCGAGACAAAGTCGAATCCGTGAGTGTGACCACTGCCTTGTATAACTCCATCTTATTTAAACCACCAGTACCTTTCCCCGCTTGAAATCTAAGACACGCCAGGTAACGCGGTAAGCAAGCGGGGGAGGGCCGCCGTTGATAAATCGGATCAGTGGCCCACTTCTCGTTTCAGGCCTCCGACACTGCCCGCGCCCGACAGATGGGAAAGCTACTGGTGGTTTAACATATCAGCTCATTTACAGCAGTCCAGCGCTCAACCCCTAAGTCACCCTCTAATTCTCCTCAGTCCAGATTTACCCCTGCAAGGTGCCGGGATCACCTTGGCATCTCATCTGGATCTGGCTGTTCCACACATATCCCAGATAGACTAAGTATGTATCCCACTTGGTTCACCAGGTATGAAGGTAGACCTTTCTGGACCAGGTAGACTTTTCTGGTGGACCAGCCTCTCCTGGTGACCATGCACAGTTCAGAGCAGGAATACTCAATTTTTTGTAACCGTTTTGACTTGCTTTGTCTTGTTTTGTTTTGTTTTGTTTTGTTTTGTTTAAACAACAGTTGAAAGACCGTCCTTAGGGCCTAGGCGATCCAGATTTGACGGGTACTTGAATTGGGAGGGCTCAAAAGAATTAGCTTTCAAAAAAAGAAAGCAAGGGAATACTAGATACTCTAGTAGAGAGTGAGTTTGGGGTCTGGGGATGGGCACCGGACCACTACAAATGGATGGGTATGCAATTTGTATGTTGCAGTGATGCAAAGCATTCAATTTTGGTAAGTCTTGCAGATTCAGGGGCGGGCCCATCTGCCTCGGTGTGTCGAACTAAGTCTTGAAGTGCATGCCTTTCCATGCCATTGGGCGTAATAATGACCAAGTTTGTAGTTCACTAGAAAGAACAAGTCACCAATGGAGCCTGAGGCTCAAAGGGCAGACATTGGGCCCCACCCTGAGCAGAACAACCTGATACTAGGCAAGGCAACCTTCTCAGGCAAGTCAAGTGATTAAGAAATCAAAGGGCAGATTTTGAGCAAAACCAGGCAAACGGTTTTCATAGATTGTTGGAGATACGGGAAAAAGGCGGAAAATTTCTGTGGGAGAAAAGGCAGACGAAAGTCCATAAAATTAATGGCGCAAGGGCAACCAAATTGTGCAATGGTTCAAATCTTTGGGTGTACCAACACGTGTCACGTGTATTTCTCAGAATGCATCCTACTGCACTGGAGTCCAGATTTAGTCAAGACTCAAGAAAGCCCTGGCGGGAGGATGCTCCTATCTACATTTAGGGGTCAGCAGTGAGATCCCTGTTCGTGAGGGGGTTCTTCTTTTCCCATGATCTTTGATTATGAAAGATCAACGTCCAGGAATGAAGATGCTGAGTACGTATGAGTCGGTATGACCTGCCTTCAGGGATGGACGAAAAGCCACCTTCTTCCCCCGAATACAACGTATGGTCATTATAGCTGTATTTTTGGCATCTTTCAGTCTAGATACAGCTATCATGACCGTACACTGTATTCGGGGGAAGAAGGTAGCTATCCCACTGGCTGCCCGCAGAGGCCCCAACGGCTCCTCACATCCAGCAGGTTCTACTCACCTGGACAAATCTGACTAGTAATATTACTATGACCAGATTCAGTCTGAGAAAGTTGGGACTGTGAGTACCCTTGCTTGCCATTATTAGGGTTTATGGATCTTCAACTCACCTGCTGCCTCTATTCGGAGGCTTGGCATTCGAAGAACGTGCTTCGAAGATTCAGATGAAAGTTCACATGCGCTTACCGGACTCCGAGGGAGAATGGCGGCGGCGGGGCCGAAAGAGTGGTGACCACTGTCGTTATTATATCCTAGTGAATGTATGTTTGCGGGAGCTCAGGACTCTTCGTGACTAAATACGGTCCTAATGACCGGAAGTCACGTCTCGGAAGGTACCTTCAGGGGTCGGCAGCGGGGGATTCGACTAAATATGGCATCTGAGGGTCGGGTCGGCGGGTCCCACTGTCCGAAAAGATGGCAGTTGGGAGATTTTGTGTGAGTCGAATCCCCCCCTGCTGGTGCCCACTTCCATTTGTCAGCTCATGGTTCATGGAAACATCATACTCGCTAACATTGCCGCAACATACAGTATTGCACTAATCTGACTTAGAGGAAAACCTAATAGTCTGTTGCAAAGGAGACTGTTTTATAACAGTGGGCAATGCAACCAATAACCTAGTAGGCCTCCAGAAATTGGGCCACAGACACAAAGTCTTGGATTATCGGATATTAATAATGGTGCATGCCATCCAACGGTATAATTGCGGAGCATAACAGTTACTTTGGCATAACGGGCCCGGGTCATTACCAGACCGTAGCCTCCGTAGGGGCCCGGGCTGGATATAGTAAGGAAACACATGTTGAGCTAGATCTGATGGAAGCAGGGCCAAGGAAAAGTAGTGAGTCTAGTGACGAAAAATGCAAATGAATTCAAGGAGACACAAATGGAACTGCTCTCTGGAGTCCCAAGCTTATTTAATTTAGTAGATAGCACGCAATAGCTGACTGCAGCAGTTAAGCCGCCAGACTGAGTACCTTCCCAGCCATTTTTCTCTGCGATGCGACTGCATGCAAGCTGCGTGGTGGGGGAGGTCCCGGTTAACCACTTGTGGCGCTTCGCAGAAAGTACATCCACTGGCAGACAAAATGGGCCGTGCATCCGATGCGATTTGCCTGGATGTATTGTTTGTGAACCAGCATGCCGGCGAGGCACGCATCCAGCAACGTCGTAGGAAAATGGCTGGGAAATGTTCTGGTGGTTCAAAAGACAAATGCTCAAGGAGATTGGGGAGCAAGCAGCGCCAAGAACTGGCCAGGCCGGACAACCATAATGGGCTAGGCAGCTGCTATTTCGTCAAAACGGACATTTTATATTTTGTGAACGAAATTTAAAATCCATTTTTTGGCCAAAATTTCATGACAGAGGGGATACGGCGTTCTGAAAACGCCCTGCCCCCTCGACAGATCCGGACTTAGCAGAAGTCTTCATACATCCAGGACGGAAAAAGACGGACCCCTCGGATGTATGTGGACTTCAGCTAAGTCCAGATATGTCGAGGGGGCAGGGCGTTTTCGGAATGTCGTGCCCCCTATTTCATGAATCTTTTGGCCAAAAAATGGATTTTCGATTTCGTTCAAAAAATACAAAATGTCTGTTTTGACGAAATTGCAGTTCGTAGGAGCCATAATGGAGAGAAGTCTCAGAGCGAGGAGAGGTAATATATAATCCTGAACAAACCATCGATTTTCCTGGATAATCTCACTCACTTCGCGGGAAATGTGCCTGATCATAGTTCTGTGATTGGTGTGACTCCAATCTGATCAGTTTGAGTTTTCTGCTCTAAAACGAGCTTAGCCTAATCGTTATCCCTTGGGCTGTCATAGCCAAGGTTTGGATACCGACATCATTGTATGCCAAGTCTGATCATCGTGAAAACCACTCTTCTCGGGAGGGTTCACTTACAGCCTTACACGCGTCACAGAACAGGATCATTTGAAAGGAGATGAACGTGTCACAATTTGCTTGCACACCTCACAGAAAACAGGATTTCAAAAGGAGATGAACACATTTGCCCCTGTCAGCCTCAGACTCCGACCAATGCACGCTGCATAAGACTACCATTACCACAGAACGCGACAGGGCCTACACCCCAGCACCTCCTCGTTAGGGAAAGCAAAATACAAGGGCAGCATCATACCATTTTCGGCTGTTTGTTATTAACTTAAAGTTTGTTTGATGTTGATGACACTCACTCTGTAGGTTACACAGCAAAGGGTTTTTGTTATTGTTTGCAAGGGAAAATGAACCAGTGCAGTTGGATCATGCTACTAGTAGGACGTGTTCTAGGATTAGAAGGCCAGAATTGCTGATATAGCAGAGTCTTCTATATTTTTTTTATACTAATCATCATCATCATTAGCATCATCATCATTAGCATGATAATCTCACAGTTTACATAGAATCAGCAGAAGTTCATCATCATAGTCATCATCATCATCATCATCATCATCATCATATGAGGGACGCTGAGCCCTGTTCTGAGCAAGTTCGGTTTGGTCACTCCGGGTAGACTGTGAGGACCCCGGCCTCAATCTTCTATTGGTAATATCAGCCTTGGGCACTGGGGCCCAGAAAAAGAAAGAAAGAAAGCATGGAAAATCCATCGCCCCGAATGGCGTGAAGCACGCCTTTGCACACGGCCCACACAGGATCACTTGCAGGTTGGGGTTCATGTCAGTGCTTCTTTTCTTCCTTTCTCTTTTGATTGTGAATCTTTCTCTTTATTTTCGTGCATGATTTTCAAAGCACCTGTTCGGGAAATTTCTACAACTGCGGAACCGATACACAGCGATTCCAGTTCCGTCCAGGACAGAACTCTGGTCGCAAGTCCTTGGAGGGGCACACCCCCTCCAAGCGTGCTGGTTCTTACTGTCTTGTCTTCATCCGAATAGCACACCAGTATGGTAGCCGGTCATCATAGCTCTTCATGGGGCAACTCTTAGTCCAGGTCTTGATCCAGCTACAGCGATAAGGACCACTGTGAAGATAGTAGTCAATGACATAAGTTCTCATAACTCCAATCAGAAACCTGCTGCAGTGCTGCACTGGGCATGAGGTTGTCGGTCAGAGGTCTGATTTTTTTTTATAAGAAACAACCCGAGTGAATGCTAGGGGTGGTGATAAAGGCAGACACCACTAGCATGCTGGGGGAGGCTCCATCTATGGGTGGGGAGCAACAGCTGCTGGAAACCGGGTC